TATAATAACACGACTCGAACTCGATACAAAAATAAATATGTCAACTCACAACTCGACATGACATAATTAGTTAAAAGAGTTAAGTTAGGTTTGACTAATATTCGACACAAACACGTAATGACTCCACGAATTTGACACGACACCACTTGATTGTCACCCTTAATCTTAGCCAACACAAAAAAAATAAAAATAGTCATTTTTATTTTTCATCCATACAACTAAACACAAAGGAAGGAAAGTGTATCCTTTCTATTTTCCATCCTTGAAGGATAAAAAATGTATCCCTCTTATTTTTCATATTTTCTATTTTTCATCATTCTTACCAAACGGAACATAAATATTAAATAAAATTCATCTTTAATGTAATAGTGTACAATTAATTTGATTTTAATTAGATTACGTACAAGTAACGTTTAGTGTAATTGCTAAGGCAACAATATATATTAGACAGGTTGAATCATGAATGGTAGGACTGTCAAATATGCTTTTTCATGAAGATTCCTCTGTGGTATTGATTATTTTAAGGATGTTGAGCAATCCGACAAGCAAACAACGTAAGTGATGCTGAAGCCGCCCACATGCTTCCTTCTGTGCTGCCTCAAGTCAATGGTGCTGTGTACACCTACGCAACTTATAATTATGAAAGTTCATTTGGATCGAAACCCATAACCTATGAATCACAAATCAATCACACACTATTTCTTTACCCCTCAATTAAATACATCATCATCATTTATCTCCATAAATTTATGGTTCCTCCCCAACCCCCAAGTTTCCAAAATTATTAGTTATAACTTTTAAAATTATGATAGTCCCCTCTCAAGTTTTCAAAATCATGCTTTAGACCTCTAAAATTATGCTTTTGATTCCAATTTACATATCTCTCTCAAACTTTCTAAAAAATATTTTATACCTTTAAACTGCGTTCTCAATTTTCTTTTATCCATTGACTTTTGATTTGAAGACATTGTATCATTAGTTATTTCAATTCGTAATAAATATTTTGCATCATTGACTTTTTTGTATGATGTATTGTGCAATCTAGTAAAATCGATAATTAATGACTATAGTGATATTGGCCCATAACTTAATGAGACAAACTATAATTCACAGAGATCAATATAACATGTAATGTAAAAACTTGACGTTAATAATAGTTCATCGAACGACCCTCATTGAATAGACATTTCTGGTAAGAGTCATTAGTTAATTGGCCTCCCTTAAAAAAAAAAAAAATCAATAGCCGAACCAAAGTATCTTCATTCAAAAAACCCAAGAGCCAAGGTTCTTTATTTCAAAATCATTGGATACGCACTCCGTTGGTATAAGAGTCATGAAGTGTGTCGGTGTACGCAAAATCGTTAATGTAAGTCCATAAACATCCACTTCAAGAAAGACTTGAAAATTTTAAATAAATGACAGGGGTTAGAAAAACTCGATTTTATACTCATAACATCGTCTGAGTGAGAGGTGTCGGTGAGGACTCAGGCTAAAATGCATGAGTGAGTATCATCTCATATCATAGCATAACATGGTAAAATTTTTATCTAGAATTATATGTTCTTGTATGGAATGGATTGTAGTTGTTAAATGTTGCAGGTGAACATTGCACATACACTTAGGTTGGAGAGTAATTTTCGTAGAAAATATTCTACTGGGTATAGCTCACTCTATATGGGATCACATTTTAGGTGCGGGATATACCCCGGTAGACGACTTTCATTCGGGGGTCTCAAAGATGAAGAAAAATCGAATTGTGGCTTTTGAACCAAATTTTTGTAAAACTATTGTAAAATTATCATTTTGGACATATAATTATATAAAATTACTTGCAATGGAACTTGTATATATAAAGTTTTATTGTGAAAAACTATATTTTTATAAAACATTCACTAAGTTAGTTTTTGGACTATTTTAATAAAATTTTGCATGTTATTATATGAGTATGGATAAATGGACCCGGTGTGGTCAATGTTTACTAATAAATGGATCCGGTGTGATCAATGTTTACTTATAAATGGACTCTGTGTGATCAACGTTGTATATTGGACCTCGGATGGGTCATCTGATTATATAGTGCACAAGTTGTGTTTTGGATAGAGCTCCCCGTACAAAGGAGACTCTGTCCAAATTTTGTTAAATTAGGGATCCCGATAAATGGGGCATTATGTGTGATATCGAGTTACACGGTATTCATGAGTATTTTCGTGGGTTGATGGGTGATCAACGAGTTAATAAAGGACCTCTGATTTTTGAGGTGTTATAATTTAACTTGTCATTTAACTAATTTGAGTTTACTTGATTTATTAAGCCTGAGCTTGTCACTAATTATGCCGAATATTGTAGAAAAGGAAAAGGGCAATAACTAACCTTCCCACCGAGACTTCAATGAGTAAATATTGAATTAATTGGTTACATCCCGTTAATAATGTCATGCAGTGTAATCGACTAATTCAAAATTTAAAAAATGGATGATTGTCACATTACATGGATGGGTGATTATTGAAATTTGTGGGATTCAATTGTCTATTAATTTATTTTTGGATGATTACATTACATTATAGTGTTGACATAGTATAATTTTAAAATTGATTGCTTTCTCAACTTTAATTAACAAGTAAATATTTATTATAACGGTTATACTATGTTAACATTGTTATATGGTATGACCTAGAAAGCACGGATACGGATACGTGACACGGATACGATACGATACGAATATGACGATACGGCAAAACTTAAAAAAATAAGATACGGGTACGGCCAGGAGACGTCGTTATTATTATTTAACGACTTAGAAATTACAATTTTTTAATAATTCTTTAACATTAGTAAGTAAATTTAGAAATTTTTACCATGAAAAAGTTATAATATCATCTCATTATGATCTGTTCATAAAATGAGCATGACAAATTAAGGAATTATAATAACATTTAACTAGTTGGTTTTACAAGTATTTATTTTTAAAAGTATATTTTAAGTGATTCTTTTTTTTTATACCCTTTTAACATATAATAATAGATAATACTTAAAAAATACTCGTGTTTTTAAAATCATATGAAATTTTGTTGATGTTTTATATTGTATGTGAACTCTAAAGAAGGGTTATAGCTTAAAATTGAAAATTGTACATCTTACACCATGTTTAGAAGTATTCACATATTTTATTAATTATCAGATACGGATGATGCGTATCCGATACGTATCATCGAGTATCCGACGAGTATCGTATCAGATACGGGCACGTCGACCTTGACGAAATATCCGTGCTTCATAGGGTATGACTGTTTAACGATAAGTAAATAAGTGAATAAAACAAATCTCACAATATTATTATATGGGGTGGGTATTATTTAGATGGAGTGTAGTTATTTAAACAAGTATGATTAACTTTGTCCACTCTGTAAGTTGTAATTGAATTGAATCACCACACTATATGGACAATGATTGCCGTTATAATGAATATTTGGCGATGTTGTTTAGAATTTTCACACATCATCTTTCTCTCTCGTCCTCCTTCCCCCCTTTTTTTTTTTTTTTTATTTTTTATCAGCATCATACTATTTGAAAATTTGGATAAAAAATTATTGAAAATTGAGGTGATAAAATAATTATAAAAAGTTAGGATGGTAACACTACATTTAAAAAAAAAAAAATTAGTGAATGATTTTTTTAAAAAAATTAAATGAGCAATAGCTAATTAGTTTGGTGGGTGAGTAATTACATGTTAAAATAAAATTAGTTAAAATTACGTGTGATAATTAAATAAATTAAAATTCAAAAAAAAATGGGATGAAAGGCTTTCCTGCCACCTCCCAAAAAAGAGAAATTTTGTGGTTTATTTTTATAATTTTTAAGGATCATTTACAATTTTCACAGGTCATTTTATAAGTTTTGAGGACCATTTATAATTTTGAGATTATTTGTAATTGATTATTAAATTTTTAAGATCAATCCAAAATGACCCACAAAAGTTATAATTTTGAATCATAAATTTTTTAACATGACTTTAAAATTTATAATTTTTTTAAATTGAAAACTAACTTAAAAACTTATATGTCAACCCACAAAAATTTATAAAATTTAATGGCACAGTACCAAAATTTTTTATTTCGTAGCCGTAGTCGACTCTCCCAAAAAAAACAATCAAAGCCCAAAAATAAGACTTTTTGCACTTTGTGCCTAGAAAGAAGTTTTTTATTTTGCACGATTAATTTTTTTATATTTTACCTTTAATGTATTAGAAAATATTGCAAAGTGGCCCTCTTATTATTTTTTTCATAAAAAATCAACTCATTTACGTTGACGAAAAAATTAACAAAAAATTACTAAAAGGGTTATATGGTAACACATTTAGTATATTAAGGATGTTATATAAAAAATTTAATCTTCGTGTTTAAAGTGAAAAGTTTTAAAATTTTCAAAGTATAAAATATAATTTTAAACTGCTCGCCAATGAATTTTAGGGGTATCCATGGGCTGAGTCAGGTAGGCCCCGAATATTTTTTAGACTGGACTTAGATTAATATAGTCCCAAATTCTTATATGAGTAAATTATTAATTAGACTGGACCAGACTTCGAGTAAAAATAAATTATTCACAATTAATCCGTCACTCATTAGGTGGGCCTTACAAGCAAACTTTTAGAGTCTAACTTTTTTTATTTAAACGCATACACTACATCTAATTTTTTTTATTTTTTTTTAAAAGTAAATTATTGCCACTAAACTATCAACTTTCAACTTTCAAATTTGAAACTTTGAATGCCATGGACCGAGTAGGTGAGCTCTTAGATCGGGTTTTTCGAGTACTCTTGGGTCGGATTTTGGATCGAATAATGGTTTTGAAGGTAAATTCAAGTCTTTTGTTAAAGAATATTGGGCTTGAATTTGAGGCAATAACGGGACTGTGGGTCAACCCGGGGCTTGGACACCCCTAGTGAATTCCGACTTCCAAGGAGAGACATTTGAGAAATTGGATTTGAATTTTTCTCATCCGATATGCAGAGGAAAGAGAAACAACGAAAGTTCCATGAGGCCCTCGTTAGCATTCTTTATCCTCCACCACCATCACCCCCTCATCAAGTGATCTCTCTCTCTCAACTCTCTTTTGCTTTCTGATCTCGACTTTATTGGTGGACTATTCTAATTTGATGAACCGACACAGGAAGAAGATGACGAAGAACAACCAAATACATCGAGGGACGGTTTAAATTTGGATCGTATCCCAGGTTTCTGTTAGAGTACTACTTAATAAATAAACTTGTATGAATCAAATATGGTTATGAATATTTGTTTTTTAAATGGAACAAATTAACAACACATTATTTGGGGATAAAATGCAGATGAATTGGAAGAGGAGAAGTGCTCATCGCCATCAAGTGATAATGAGGGTGGATTTGGGCTTCAGAAGCTAACAAGGGCTCAGAGGAAGAGGCTTCGCAAGAAGAAGCTCAAGGAAGCCGACTCTTGTCGAAAAAAAAGGAAAATTATCGGACCATTGTTACCTACATCGAGCGATGGCGGTGATGGCGTATGTTGTGCGGTTGTAAAAAATGAACCTCAAGCTGTTCGACAAAATGCGGAGCAGGAACTGGATACGAGAATTGACAAGCCAGGTATAGTTTTATGTAAAGCTTATGATTGTAGTAAGTTGAATGTGTTTTAGTGAACTTTTTCCGTCCGAACATGATAGCATGGTAGCCTAGTTGGCTTTTCAGTAGAGGGTGAAAAGGCTCACCCTCTCCTGGTGGGTCATGGGTTTGAACTCGCTTGCGATAGTATTGTCTATTAGAGGGGTTGAATGACCAGCTTGCCCTCCGTGGTGATGTAGTGTCGACCCCGACCACCTTTTTTCACGAGCAAAAAAAAAAGAGATTAACACGAGGGATACTAAAGTTGCAACAGTTTTTTAGTTGATGTAATCCAAGCTACCAATTAGGAAATGCTGGAGCCTGGAGGTAACATAAATGTCTGGTAAGTTACATCCTGCTTTTGGATGTATAAGAAAAAGAAAGCTTCCGAACAGCAAGAAACAGAACCATTAAAGCTTTGAATTGGACCGTGAGCTAGTATGCTTCTGCTGTTATTTTTTCTGTTGTGAGATCCTAACAATTAGGTGAACTTGTGATTATCTAGGTGAGGCAGCTGCTTGTGCTAACGAGAACAAGCTAAAGCAGAGGAGAATGACTAAGAAGCTAGCGAAAGAAAGGTTGAAGTTGTCAGTTGTGGAGAAGAACCATCAAGGTGAGGACCCTAGTGCCCAAAATGAAAGCTCGATTTGACTCCAGAGAATTTTGAGGGTGTTACCGCTTGAGATAGTAGTGAAATTGTCATGGGGAGATCAGATGAAGGTCGAGTTCTCAAAGATACGGTCACTGTGGGTGTGGGTACTGATTAGGATTTTACACTATGGAGCAGGATGAGCTTGCTGCTAATATGTTCTGTATGGTTCTCATTTTTTTTATTTGTTTGTCTGCATGTTTTTCTCCAGAATCTCAACTGATGATGGTTTGGCCAGTAGGTATAAATTAATAGCTTTAGAAAGATGGGGCCAAACTGTTGATGTTCCTGACACAGTTAAGAATAAGCTACTGATAAAAATTATTGTTAACAATGTTTGTCATCTTTGTAGTCCTTGATTGCACCAAGGTACATGCTTTCCATTCAGTATCATAAACAGATGCTGTACACAATTATAGAAAAGATGCTCTCTTTTTTTTGGTCCAGTGGAAATCCAAAGCAAGAGTCAATAGAGATCTAATTTCATCCCCCCTCCCGACCCCCAGAGGTAGCTAATGCAACAAAACCCTCTGCCGGTTGAACTACTGTGTTGGCTAAACCATGGGCACACTGATTTCCTTCCCTGAGAATGTGCTCAATCCTTGCAGTCGTAAAGTTGCTTGCAGTTCTCCAAAAGATGCTCTCGTGTTGCTGAACTCTCTAGTATTTTTATCAATAAATTCTTTGCATGATTTTACCTGCTAGTTACACCAAATGATGGCGTTCTTGTGTTTGGATTACCTTCTTGTGTATTATCATTAATGCAGATCATATGGGAAGGTTTTTCCTCATGGAATTTCATGATGATTTTCTTTCGCTGGTGAGTAGCTGATTATCAGGACATTGATACAGCCGAAGTTGCTGCCGCCAAGAATTGCGTCGCATCACTTTCTAATGGTTGCTGCAGCTCTGGTTGAGAATCAACATTAGGACATAGCAGAAGTATCCGAAGCTTCTGATTCTCAGGACATTGATATAGCAGAAGCTTCAGTTAAAGTAGCATGCAGTTATCTGATTTGGACTGTTCTAATTAGGCCAAATGATATTTTTCTTCGAGTATCATTAATTACACGACATTTTGAAGAAGGATTAAGGCTTTTTAGGGAGATGAAGAATTTTATGGGAAATTTACCTTGGTGAAATCCGCTCGTTAAAGGTCTGTAATTGCTAGGTTGTTCAGCATGCTCCCAAAAAAGTTTATAAGTACATCTCCAACCTTTATTACTTGGAGAATAAGATAGTGTTGTAAAAGTAGAGATAACAATTGGTTGTTTATTATGAAGGAATGTCTCTTGTATTTATTTTTACAAGTGAGATGATTCTCACGTCATTATTATATAGTCTTCAAGTTTGTTAGAATTTTATTGATTGAATATTGGGCTGTTAGAGACTATATTTTTTAGGTATGACATGACCTTTTAGAATACGATGAGGTGACATTGTGATCAATTTTTAAGTTTAGATATTCTATGATCTTTCATATTTATGAAAGGTCATGCTATGGTGTCGTTCAACTTATGATAACATCTTATATTTTTAGTCAATTCTTGAATAAATAAGTTCAATCTAAACGCGTAACTTGAGTTAAAAATATTAATTCTCTTCTTGATGTAACATAAACGAGCTAAATACCTGTAGTTTGACACATTTACTTGAGGGAGGTCGAGTGAGAGACCATGTCCATCGACTCTTTCTACGAGTCAATTGTAAAAATATCCTTCTACTTGCTCCTAATATCATTTTAAGATATCACCATATGCAAAGAAAGAACAAAAAATGCACCACCACCTTTTTCACAATTATGACTAGTTGTGAGAATCTACAAATAAATACCATATTTATATTAAACCTGCTGCCATAGTCCTGGAAAAAAAAAACATAGGACGGTGGACCCCTCCCTCAAACCCTAAACCCTTTTTGTTCTTCCTATAGACTATTCTTTCTCCTTCTCTCTGTTTTCAGTTGTGCAACCACCGCCACCAGTTGCAGCCATGGCGGAGCTCAAACTCTCAGAGATGCGGGACCTAACTAGAATAGAACGCATCGGTGCACATTCCCACATCCGCGGCCTTGGTCTTGACTCTACCCTCGAACCCCGCTCCGTCTCCGAAGGCATGGTGGGCCAGACCTCCGCCCGGAAGGCAGCCGGCGTCATCGTCCAAATGATCAAAGAAGGTAAAATCGCCGGCCGAGCCATCCTACTAGCTGGCCAGCCCGGCACCGGCAAGACCGCTATTGCCATGGGCATGGCCAAATCCCTAGGGCAAGAAACCCCATTCGCAATGCTCGCGGGGAGCGAACTCTTCTCTCTGGAAATGTCGAAAACCGAAGCCCTAATGCAGGCTTTTCGTAAAGCAATTGGAGTTCGAATCAAAGAAGAGAACGAAGTGATCGAAGGGGAAGTTGTTGAAATCCAAATTGATCGTCCTGCTGTGGCTGGTGCAGCTTCAAAGACCGGGAGATTGAATTTGAAGACGACGGAGATGGAGACGGTGTACGATTTGGGGGCGAAGATGATTGAGGCATTGGGGAAACAAAAAGTTCAGAGTGGGGATGTGATTGCCATTGATAAGGCCTCCGGGAAAATCACGAAGCTTGGGAGGTCGTTTTCGCGATCAAGGGATTATGATGCAATGGGGCCACAGACAAAGTTTGTTCAGTGTCCTGACGGGGAGTTGCAGAAGCGGAAAGAGGTCGTGCATTTCGTTACGCTTCATGAGATTGATGTTATCAACAGCAGGTATTGATTTCTAGGATTTACCGATGTTGATGCAAGTGTAAGTTAGTGAATTTGGATTGAATACTGTTGCATAATGCTCTTTGTATGCCTAATTATGGGAAATTTATTTTCTTTTTTTAAGTCATAAATCTGATAGCATAATTCATTTGTCTTCCTGTACGTATTTGGCTTCTTAGAGAGTCTATGGAATTGGCCCCATAATTCTGTGGTAGGATGGCAATATGATACTTAATTTGGTCTCTTACTTACCAACCGTCCTCAAATATCTCCCAGTACTAAGGATTCATACTTAGTCCCTCAAACTCCCCATCAGGAGTAAATCCTCAACACAACTATGATACCACCATAAACAGGTCTCTGTATCTCTCTATTCCTAATTTCCCTCTTTTCTCAACGTCTGGAGAAATATTAAAAAATTAAGTCGGGTTTCTTATATCATTTATTCAGTTCATCATCCTATTGTTTGAATGTTCTGTTTAGACTAATTTCGCACAGGCATTGTGTGTGTCATATTCTAGTTAAGATGAATCCTTTTGGGTATTCATAGCAAACCATTATCTTTGTTTTTCATCAGTTTCCAATTCATCACCTTGCTTATGTCTGGAACCACCATCCTTGCTGTCACTTAACCTATTCCAGTTTCATTGTGTTTTCCTAATAATTATTCTCCGCTTTTGTATCATTTGCTTTAACAATTTCAATTTCTGTCTTCTTGTGTTACGTATTTATGAATATGGATAATATGAACTTTTTTAGGCTTAAATTTTATTTTGCTAACTTATGGACCAACATCTCTTACATTGCTGCTGTTGCTGCATATACAATTTTTATTGTTGATCTCATGTTGATATCAACATCAGAACGCAGGGATTTCTGGCTCTCTTCACTGGTGATACTGGTGAAATCCGAGCTGAAGTTAGGGAACAAATTGACACAAAGGTTGCAGAGTGGAGGGAGGAAGGGAAAGCAGAGATTGTGCCAGGCGTCCTCTTCATTGATGAAGTCCACATGCTTGATATCGAGTGTTTTTCATTTCTAAACCGTGCTTTAGAAAATGATATGGCACCAATACTAGTTGTTGCTACCAACAGAGGGATCACTACAATCAGAGGCACAAACTACAAATCTCCTCATGGCATTCCAATTGATTTTCTTGATCGCTTGCTCATAATATCTACACAGCCATACACAGAAGAAGATATTCGTAGAATTCTTGACATTAGATGCCAAGAGGAAGATGTGCAAATGTCTGAAGATGCAAAGATTTTATTAACAAGAATCGGAGTAGACACATCCCTGAGATATGCCATCCACCTCATCACATCTGCTGCACTGGCTTGCCAGAAGAGGAAGGGGAAGCTTGTGGAAATGGAGGACATTAGTCATGTTTACGAGTTGTTTTGGGATGTGAAGAGATCAACACAGTACTTGATGGAATATCAGGGCCAGTACATGTTCAATGAAGTGCCAACAGGAGAGGGGGATTATCACACCAATGCCATGATTTCATGAGCAAGTTCTTTGCCGTGGAATCTGTAATTTGTGACTCTTTGCTGTTCTGCTGCTGCTGCTTTTTAATTCGCGCCGCACTCATATATTCAAAAGTCTTATTCACATTGTAATGATTAATGTTTATGTGATAGTTTGGATGAACAGATTTTGAGTAGATTTGCATACATGTTTGATATGCTATAAATTTGCCTTTTTTTTCGTTGCCATTAGCTTCCAGTCAGCATAATAATTGTCAAATGATGAAGATGGCAAACATGGCTTTCTGTTACCATGTGAAAATGGCCCAAACGAAGCGTAGTGTGAAAGAAACTTACGAAATATCATTTAAGTCAGTATTATCTACTTGCTGGAAACCCAGATTTTACCATCCATTTGTTAACCTAGCAACTTTTTCCAGCTTCTATACCTTCTAATGAGAGTCACACTCAACCAAATGCTTAGTAATACTTCTTCAAAACAAGTATAAAATGTACCAAAATCTCGGGTTCGAAATGGGTTTCTCGGAGATGTCTCAGTTCAAGACCTCACAGGCCCTGGCAAACACTAAAGAGTACTGCTGCTTTCTGAAAGAGAAGTTACCTTCTTTTTCTATAGCAATGCTTGTAGTTCTTTTTGTGGGTGGTGTTCTTTGGTCATCTACCTATACCGACTCTAGTTTTTCTGATTTATTCATGACAAGGCCGAAGCCCACATTGGCCACAGAAAGCTCCAAGAGTCCATGATTTCTCCATGGATGCACAGGGTTTTAACCTGCGCGATGACCCAACTAACAGAACTTTCTACAACAACCCAATGCTCAGTTATTCGTTATATAGGCCCATCAAAAACTGGGACGAAAAGAGAAGAGAGTGGCTAAAGCATCATTCATCCTTTGCCCCCGGTGCAAAAGACAGAATATTCATGGTGACAGGATCACAACCGTCAATTTGCAAGAACCCAATCGGTGATCATCTCCTGTTGAGGCTTTTCAAGAATAAGGTTGACTATTGTAGAATCCACGGCTACGATATCTTTTACAACAGTGCCTTCCTACACCCAAAGATGGTCTCTTATTGGGCCAAATTACCCTTAATCCGGGCCACAATGCTGGCCCACCCAGTGGCAGAGTGGATGTGGTGGGTCGACTCGGATGCCGTTTTCACCGACATGAGTTCAAGCTGCCATTAGAGAAGTACAAAAACTACAACCTGGTAGTGGACGGCTGGTCCAGCATGATCTACGAGAGCCGTAGTTGGGTCGGGCTCAATGCTGGGGTCATACTCATCCGAACCTGTAAGTGGCCCATGGCCTTGATGAAAGAATGGGCCAATATGGGCCTAATAAGCCCAAATTACGAAGAGTGGGCCCACATCTTATCATCAACCCTCAAACTCAAAGCAACCCAAGTATCCGACGATCAATCGGCTCTGATTTACTTGTTATTAACACGGAAACACAAATGGGGTGACAAAATTTATATAGAGAATTGAGTACTGCTTCCAAGGGTACTGGTTGGGCTCGGTGAAAACTTTTGATGACGTCACACGCAGGAACAGAGAAGGGAATGCGCAGGTTAAGGTGGAGACACGCTGAGAAGGTGAGCGAGAGCTATGGTGCGCTGAGGGAGCAGTACCTCAAACAGGAGGGATATGGTAAGGATACGGGGAGACGGCCGTTTATAACGCATTTTACGGGGTGTCAGCCGTGTAGTGGGGACCACAATCCAATGTACGGTGGTAATTCTTGTTGGAGAGGAATGGAGAGGGCGTTGAATTTCGCGGATTATCAAGTGCTTCGGAACTATGGTTTCGTGCACCCTGATTTACTTGATTCTGCCTTTGTCTTGCCCCTGCCGTTTGACTCTGTGGGACTGTGATGTGTGATGTGTGATGTGTGATGTGTGATGTGTGATGTGTGATGTGTGATGTGCAGGGCAGATTAAAGTTAGGATTAGGAGTGGGATAAGTTAGAAATCTATTTTCAGCCTTAACACTTACAAGGATGCATGATCAAAAAAACGGGCTTCTAATCCATTTGTTTAATCCTCACTTTAGAATCACAAGGTTTTAAGGAATAACTGCATGCATTGCCATTACATAATCATAACAATATGGATATGATATCAATATGAATAAAGAATGAACCCGTGTCCAAGCTAAGTGGATGAGAAGTTAGGTAGCTATTTTTAACAGTATCTACCACGTCTGACCCAACAATCAATGAGACTGGGTTACCTTGCATGAATGTTTCTTCTGGACTCTTGCACATGCCAATTCCCCATTTCAAGTCACAAATACTGTGTAGGAGGGGATGGATGGGTGGAATCCTAACGTTTAAGGGTTTTGTTCCTCCCAAAAAGAAAACACCACCATTTGAGTCAAAGTAACAAATATATGCCATGCTTTTACTAATGACAATTGACAATTCAATAGGGATTTAATGTGAAGATTTAATTAGTGATCTAATTCATTATAATTATTGAATTAATTGTTACGTTCAGTGTTAAATAAAACTCAATTTTAATCCATTATAACGGATTGAGTCCTCAAATGAGTCAAATAACATTTTCCTTGAGTAATATACAAAAAAATGCCTACACCAGGGAAAAAAATATTCATTACAAAGCTGATATCACATCGACATAATCATGTGATATCATCAATTAATAATGTGTAAATAAATAAGAAAATGTATATCACACAAATCAATAGCTAACTGTTCATATAAACTAATAATTATCCATTTTTCTTGCATGTAAATCAAATAACTATTCAAAGAGAGTTCAATTTACCTATTTATAATTACATTATTAGTTAATGATATTAGACACTCCTAGAGTTGAGCCCACGGGGAAGCGAGTGAAGAAGAGGAAAAGCAAAAGGGAAGGAAAGGGCGAAAAAAAAACAAAGCATAGCCGAGGACTAGGTCAATAAAGAAGGCTATAATACAAGGACCAAATTAACATAAGTTATACGGCCTTAATCCGTCTCTTAAATGCCCTTGAAATGAATGTCATGCACTCCTTGTAAATTTGGTCTATCTTTTAGTAAAATTTTGTTGATAGGCATGGATGAATGATTATAGCAAGTATAATTGTGCATGCTAGATCTTGTACAATATAAAAACGAGAACAAATCTCTCTCTTGATGAACTCGAGTGAGTCAGTTGAATAGTCAACCACGCTGCTTGGAACAGCCTGTGAAATCCGGTGGTAACCTGGAACGGTAATGGGAGACCCTCGCGGATCAAAGGAACAATCCAGTAAGACTGAAAAAAGGTTCATGGAATAAAGAAGAACAAGTTAGAAGGGCGCCAGAGTATTTTTCAGCGTATCCCCTCCGACGATCAAGTCAGTTTTTGAGAGAGAGGAAAAAGAAAACACTGAGTATAATTTGTAGCAAAAGTTTCACCTCCTGTTTTTGCCTTTAGTGAGGAGTATTTATACCTCAAATACTCATTATTGTTGTTAGTGTGGTCAGTAGATGATCATTAGATACATGCAACGTGCGCACTGATTCCTATGAGGAATGTCTTCTCTCTTAACTGTTCGGGACCCCAAATAATCAAGTCTGTGTCATCGGCCTGCCGACGGTTCAATGAGCTCCTCTCGGGGAGGATGCAATAAATGCCCAACCTTAGAGACATTTATTGCCTTTCACTTCTGAGCCTTACCGCATTGAATGCAGTCTCATCAAGGAAATGGTGTAATTAAATGCTTGTTTTCCCAAGTCACGTGTCAGCAAGGTCATGCAGTCTTTCTGTCTCTGATGTGACACAATATGCCACGCGTCCATTCCTCATTGGCTGTGACCCCTGCCTTCCTGTGTCTTTCGACACCAATTGTATAAGACGAGATTATGATAGCTAACCTAGCCTAGCCTAGGCTAGTGACCAGTGCATCAATAACCTTTGCTGGAGCAGAGAACTTCATCATGGATGAGAGTGGGTACATCTCGGTACCGAGGAAGATGTACATCTCGGAACCGAGAGGGGGAGGCCTAGCGACCGATGTACCATATCAGACCGAGGGTACATGTCGGTTCATAAAAACGTACTGGATGCCACTCGATCCCATGATAAGTACCTCGGGGTAGAGGGGACTTGTAACCCGATGGATACGTGATCTCGATAACAAGGATCAGTGACACCGAGGACACGTGTCTTCATCTTGGAGTATTCTGAAAATGTCCCATCAACTGCCCCCCAGCCTTCGATCTTCTGACACCGAGGACACGCGTTGTAAGGAGACGAAGGGTTTTGCAACAACCCCAACTGCTTCATCATTGTCCCTAGCCATTTTCCCTGCTTAGGATGTCGTGTGCATTAAATGCGCCGTTTCGTGCTTTGCGCCCAATGATGGGATAGGTGCTATATATAAAGGGGCTTTCTCTCTTCTTTTCTCATTTCATCGTTCTGAACTTTTCTTCACAGAGAGCCCTTGCCTGTATCTTAGCCAGAGACCTCTTTCCTTCCGTTTGTCAACTGCCCAACCTTTTCACTGAAGCTTTAAAGCCAGCAGACTCATCCTTGCTTCGGAACATTCTTGGAAGGAGTTGATTCAAATTTTCCAGAAAAAAACCTCTTTTTACACTCTGATGAGTCCCAGTATCTTCCCTTTCTTTGCCCTTCTGTCTCTTTTGGTTTTTCGATCACCGGAGGTGTTTTCTGGTTGCCCTTCAGCGATCAATTCCAGGGAAGTCTTCTTGGGGATCTTCGTGAAAAAGACCCCCTCTATTTTTTATCACTTTTTGAAGATGCCTTGTCGTCGCCCTGCCTCCCAGAACCCTCAGGCCAGTACTTTGAGGCCTGGGAAGTACAAAGGAAAATGTGGTGAACAAATTAATGGATTTAGGGTTAAGTACAGCATTCCCCCGAATGTAGACATAGAGGATTATGACCTGGCTGTGCATCCTCGTACTCTCAGTACCGAGGACGCAATGCCTTTCTTTATCAAAGCCATCATAGAAGGTGGGATTAGGTTCCCTTTACCCCTTCTGCTTCTCCAGTTCCTCTCTCATTTTTGTCTCTTTCCCGGACAGTGTTGTCTTAATGTCTTTAGGATAATTATGGAGGTCCTAGAGCTCAATAGGCGTCTTGGGGTAAATGTCGGGTTGAACGATATCCTTTTTTGTTATTCCCTCTTGAGAGTTACGCCTCAACAACACTTGTACCTCAAAGCCAGGGACCCATCTATGTACCTCGTAACTCACCTTCCTGACTCGGACAAGGGGTACAAGAATGACCTACTTATTTTCAGGGGATCTTGGCAGAGAGGTGTCGGTCCCGAGTATGACGGCTTGTTATGCCCTTTGGAATAAAGAACGTCAAGTACGCTGGTTCCTTTGAGTCTATTACTTTTTGAGATTTTCTACGTGCTCATGACCCATTCCTCTTTTTGCTTGTGCAGATATCTCCCCTCGGAAAACAGCTCCTCCACCTCGGTCGTTGGTGAACTTTGCGGACCTAGTCACCGTTTGGAGATTCACTGGTGACGATGGGCTCGGCTGGGCTGCCCACATCCTCCTGAATTATACTCCCGAATATAAGAAGTTTTCACAACTTCCCCAGCCTTTTGATTCTTCGCGGTGGTCTGAACTCTTCGATCAGGCGGTGAGGCAAGAGGTTGAGGAGAACTTGGAAGAAGACCCTGACCGGGCCTCGGAGGTAGAAGTAGAGGGTGAAGTTGAAGAGCTGGGGGTCAGAGAGGACTTGGTTCCTTCGTACGCCGAGGTGGGGACTTCGGGCAGAGACTCGTGGCCGGACTTCCAAATCCTACAATCTCTCGACGCCGAAGACGCCTTCCAGGTAGCCATGTCCAACACACCCCGCATTGATCTAGGGTTCCTCAGGCAAAGGCAAGCCCTCGCTGCTGGGAGGGGATGAGGATCTACCGGTGGGGCCCCATCTGCAGGGACCAGCGCCACCCCGTCCTCACGAATCGTCAGCCGGGGTCAAGTGTGTGACCGGGATCCTCAGGTAGAGGAGGAAAGGAGGATCAAACATAGGCACGACGGCCTTGGCAGGGGATCCAGGGCCCCCTCCGCTCAGCAACAAAGTGGGAGAGGCCGTGGGTTACCTCCTGCTCCTCAGCAGCAACAACAGCAATAACAACAACAGCAACAACAACAACAACAACAACAACAACAACAACAACAACAACAACAGCAACAGCAGACTCCTCCTCCCCTTCCGCAGATAGTGAAAGCCGCGGAGTGGAATCCTCGAGCCACTGATCACATGAACCGAGTGATCAGGGTCGACGACTCCGTTTTGCAGGACCCTCATGTCGCCCATGCAGTGAGTGAGACGCTACATTTCGAGGCCGACATGGCGGCTCATAGGGGGCGATCAACGAACGTGTTGTTTCGCTCTATCATCTAGAATTCCCTGGTGGTAAGTTCATCTTTGCTTCAATCTTTTTTAGCCGCCTTTCCTTTTAGTAACATGCCCTTCTTTGCAGGCCACCCAACAAATCTCCATAATAGCGGCGCGGTATCATGGGGCTAGGATGGACCTTCAACGGATTCGAGAGCAGAAGGAAGAAGTCGAGGAAGCCCTTGCCAGTGCTAAGAAGGATATGGCTGCTAGGGATTCAACCCTCGCGGGGTAGGCTGCTCAAATCGAGCAACTCCTCAAGGATGTCGAGTTGGCAAAGGTCGGCGCTGAAAAGCTAAGTGCTGCCCTTGCCGACGCTGAGAGTAGGATAATAGAACAGACGCAGTGGCTCTCTACGACAGAGGAGAGGGCTGTTGGTTCCGAGAAAAGTTGTCTGGCTCTGACCCAGGATGAGGCACAGAACAGGAAGTCCGAGGAGCAACTCTGAGAAGAGTTTGCCGATGACGTATTCCCGCTCTTGAGGAAAACAGCAAGGAGTTC